GAATTCTTCCATCCTCCTGGACAGTGGAAGACTGCGGTGTGGGGGTGAGGTGGAGGGAGAAGCTGGCAAGGCAGTGAAGAGGGTGGACTTGTGGGAATAGCTGGGGAGACGTCTGCCTGTGCTTCAGTGAAGTGTGGGTGCACGTGCATGTGTGTGAGGGCCCAGAACCGCTGGCCCAGTCTTACTCTGTGGAGAAGGTGTGAGCCCTGGTTTAATGAGCCTCTCAGTCTGACCTTGACACAGGACGTCCCTGCAGGCATTGATTATGTGCAGTCGTAGGTGGCCCAAACCATCACTCAGAGTACTGGCGACCCCTGCAGATTCCAGTACCCTGCCCGGTATATGATGCAGGCCTGAGAAATAAGAGACAGAGCTAGGAGAGAGAAAGCGGGGTGCCAGGACGACCAATGCTGGTGCAACCAACAAAGGAGCTGGCCCGTCACAGGCACTGACTTTTATTGGCAATCAACTGGGGTAAAGGCAAGCTATGTGCAGTTTCTGTGGAAATTAATGTACACAAGGCTCATAAAGGACAAGACAAAGCGTTCTTGAAGTAGGAACAGAATAGACAAAATATATGGTTGTTATTAGAACATTGTCATTCTAGTAAGAAGGTTTCAGTTGTGGGAACAGAATTTGGGTGTGACTTACTCTGACCTTGGCACGTAGGCTTCAGCTGGACTCGCTTCTCAAAACAAGCCAATTGTGGGGTTAACTCTTCACAGCCTGCTTTGGGCGTAATCAGGACTGCAGTTCTCTGCGGCAGAGTCTTAAATGGGGTGCTGGGAGACCACATTCAGCCCCCTGGTATCTCCCGGAAGTCAGGCAGACCATGTGGACTCCTTGAATGTAGTAAAGAAGCTCTGCATCCACCCCAGTGACGCCTTGAAAATTCGGGGCTGGTTTTTCTGGGCATGGTGATACACATCTATAATCCTAGCTACTTAGGAGGCTGATGCAGGGAGGTCAAAACTTCCAGGCCGGCCTGGACAAACTGAGGGAGACCTTGTCTCAAAAAATAAAAATGGCTGTGAATATAGCTCAATGGTAGAGCTCTTGCCTAGCATGTCTGAGGCCCTAGGTTCCATCCCAGCACCACACACCCAAAAGCCAGAGACATTTCTGATGGCTTCATGGGGCAGTCACTGTTTATGAAGTCTATTTTTAGAAAGGAGGCAAGACATTTCCCAAGCAGTGCAGCCTGGGCCCTGACACAATGACCCTTCTCTCTTTCTCTTGCTGTGTGACCAAAGGGTGACCTTCCCTGAATCCTGCAGGCTTCCAACATGGCCACAGGGAGACCATCCCACTTCCAACTGTGCCAAGAAGTGCTCAGAAGTCCTTATTAGGAAGACACTGATGAAGTTCACTGACCTGAAAATCACTGTTCAGCCCTGTTCTTACTACAAAATTCAGTTATATAAGGAAGCCACGTGAGGTAGATGGAAATCTCGATTCGCTGGCATCTCAGAGGTGCTTTGGTTGCATCCTGTCTGGCAAGTCTCACAAATAGGGTGACAGATTGACTTTACTGGAATCAAAAAACCTTAGGATCACTGGACTTAAAATACTCATGCATCTGATTTAATAACTCATCCTATCACAAGCACAAGGACCTGAGTTTGATCCTCGGTACCAAAAAAACAAAAACAAAAACAAAACAAAACAAAAACTCATCCTGGGTGGGTTCCTTGGTCAAACTCTTAGAGCCCTGGGAACACCTATTGTGACCCATGCCTATTTTAGCAATTGTGAGGATTAAATGAAATAACATAACCACAGCACAAAGCACAGAGTGGGTGGTTAATATTTTTTAGTCGCTTTTTCTCTTACTATTTGAATGTGTTCTGTGCATGACAAAGTGACCAATATTAGTTGCTAGTATAACACAGTCAAATGAAATACATTAGCTTGTCTCAAACTCTAATGTGGCTATGAATCATTGTGAAATCTTGTGAAAAAGCAGACTCTGTGTCAGCAAATCTGGGTGGGGCCTGAGTTCTGCGTTTCTAACAAGTTCCCAAGTGGCTTCAACCACCGACTACACTTTGAATAGCAAAGGTATTTCACAGTGATCTTAGCCAGGCTATACATACATTATAATTATCTGGCAAGGTTTATAAAATATGTACTTTATGCCTTTGCACTACTGAATCAGAAATTCAAATGGTGGACCTCAGGCATTTGTAGTTTTCCTAAGCAATCCAGATGATTCTAGTCCTCAGCCGGGGTTGAGAACCAATGGCCCAGAGCCTGGTATTCCTTCTCACTCTGACATCCCGATACTTCTGGTCATTTACTGGCTGATCTTTGTTGAGCTTCTACTCTCTGTCAGGCAATGACCTTAGTGAAGAGAACAGCAAAAGAGCAAGCAATGGAAGAGCATATGATGAGCGTGCTGGGCAGAGAGGGCTTTGTGCGGTTCTCCAGGGCAGGAAGTGTGGGGATTCAGCCAGGTCGATGGGTCAGGAACAGGCAGGCTTTGCTGTATGAGGTCAAGGCAGCACCAAGTTCAAAGTATGATGGGACCAAGTTAAGAACAAAAGAGGGAAAGATAATAGATGTTGGAAAAGATTTGAGTTCACTAAAGGAAGGGAAAGTAACTAGGCTGGAGAAGAGACCAGGAATGAGATCATGGAGTAGGACTAAGGTAGGAAGTTTGACCCTTGTCGCAGCGCTAGGATTTTAAGAAGACTGAATTCTGAGAAATAACAAACATTATAAGTGTTTAGCTCTCATCATTATCGTTGTTGTTACATTGCTATTTTTGTGCTTTCCATGGTTGTGTTTTAAAAATATTATACTGACAGTATGATAAAGAATGGTCCAGAGGGAACCCAGACTGCAAACAGAGAAGGTGGTCAGAAGCTATTAAATTCATCCACTTAAAGAATGGGAAAGGTATAGAGGAGGTAGAGTTTACAGATTTGGACGATTTTTGTTCTTGCGATAATTAAAAACCCACATCTGCGTGTATCAGTTTGCAGACTCCTTTCATGTAACAATCTTGAGTCAGTACAGTTGTTATTCACTTTTACAAATAAAGGAAACTGAGGCTCAGAAATAAGTCGACTTATTTAAGGTTACATGACAAGTATGTGAAAGGACCCCACCCATCCAATGTCATCCCTGTCATTCCTGCTGCATCAGGCACCTGCCCCTGTGGTGCACAAGGTAGAAACCTCGGGTGGACCCTGGCAGGGTGGAGGTCCCTCCTTCTGGTTACATGGAGTGGATTTGTGTGATCTTCAAAGGATCCAGAGTTCAGCCCTTGCTACCATCGGCTCCACAATCCCAGATATAATCCTAAATAATGAGGAGCTGGAATCCCCAGTACTAGGATTCTCAGGCAATTTAAATAAGGACCTGTATCTGGCTTGCACAGATATTATTCAGTCTGCACACCTGAGGTGCCTCCAAAGGGAATTGATTCTTCAACTCGGCCTCCTTTTAGATGAATCCCGACATCCTCACCCCAAGTGTGCTGTTCAGTGCAGCCCTGAAGATGTCACCGGTGCTGGTGGCTTTGGAACTGCATATTCAATACGGGATGACGCCTAACTTTAATGTCACCTGCTATTCTATCAGGGACATCCAGGAGTCGACCTAGGCATATAAGAGAGAGCTTGGGTAAAGTCCTTGCTGTTTTGAATAACTAGCCTGTCATCAATTAGGTCCCAGCCAAATGGGCCAGGGGACAAGAAAAAGAGTGTGGATGGGAAAGTATGAGGAAAACCACCTCGGCCCAGGTCCTCATCTCATTGTTGGGCTCACGATGGCTGGAACCTTCTCCAAGGAGTCCTTTCTTGGAGTGGAGGAAGAGATGTCCAGATCAGCGAGCCAGGTCCCATGAGAGCGGACTTTTCCATCCTTTTTCCATGTGTGAAGGGGCTGAATACCCATCTTGTCTTTCCTCCTGCCTACATGTATCTACCCAGCCCTTCCACCATTTTCCTTCCACGTAAGGAAGGCATCGTACCAGTTGTATCACATTGCTCCCACCTGCCAGTCATCCCCTACCATCTTCACCTGCCATGTGTCCCTGCCCCCCCCAGGTCTGTCCTTTAGCTTTGCTCGGTTAATGCATCAACTGCAAAGAATTTGCTTCTTTAGGTTGGCCAGCCATCCTTTTTACTTTGTACCTAAATTGTTTAAAGGTCATGTTTTATTGGCCTGTCTGCAGATGCTCATCATCTTCGATGGGGACTTTGCACTGTCTCTGGGTCATCATTAATAAGCACTGAGCCCAAGAGAGCGCCAAAAGTTGTGTAAAATTTTTTAAATACTTATTTTTTTCATGAGGTGCTGAGGATGAAACCCACAGTCTTGCACATGCTAGGCAATTGCTCTACTGCATTCTCAGACCTAAAATACCAAATTCTGACATCAGCAACTTTTGTCATCATTTGTCCATTTATCCTGTAATCCTAAAAAAAAAAAAATCTGAGTTTCTGTATGATTGAATTTCTGGGAGGTTTTCACTAACTTAGAAAATATATACATTCACCTTTAAGTTTTTTTTTCTTTCTGTGAAATCAGCAAGGGGGTGCAAAGAAATCTAGAACCCAGGACATAAGGAGAAAACAAAACTTTCATTGGAAGATGGCATTTCATCCGAATCCTGTCCAATGGAAGAGACTGGATCAGGCTGTTATTTAGACTTATGAAAGCAGTTCTCCTTCTTTCTATCCAGCCATGGCCTTGGGGCTTCAGGTGGATAAGGCCAGTCACCACCAGAAAAACCCACAGTGAAAATGGCACAGTTGGAGGGTGCGGGAGGTGAGCTTAGCCTTCTTCACTTGGGCAGAGCTAAATGCACAAGTCAGGAAACTACTGCTAGAAAATCCATAGAAGGGCAAGGACCAACCCAACCAGGGCCCTGCCCCAAAAGGTGCTCTCAGCTGTGAAGCCTCCACCTCCCCACCCTCCTCTTCCACTGCACCCTTGTAATGAGGGACCCAGAAATCTGCCAGCTCAGACGACTACCACCTATGCCCGAGATGCATCGCTTTAGCTCTCTGAATCCCTCAAGAGAGCACTATATCTGCCACGACCTGCAGACTCTTGTGCAGTAAGCTCCTTACTCTCTGGTCATTGATTTTTTTTTTCCCCTTCCAATTCTTTGAAGCAATGTTTCAAAAAAATAAATTTCAGATTAGCTGTAAAGTTAAAAGGAACAGATTTTCTTCACACACCACTAATCTTTACCAACTAATTTCTTTTTTAAAGTTTAGAGCCTACCATATATGTGTGTGTGTGGGTGTATTAAAAAAAAAAACTCCATTAAATGAGGAGGTGCTTTTCAAAGTCTCACCTGTGATTTTAAGCAATATTTGTCCCCCAGTAAGAACCGGAAGAACCTGAGAACTTGGAACTCAAACCAGGCTAACACTAGCTTCTAGCTCCTGTCATTTCTTTAAATATTTGTGTGTTCACATGTGCTCTTTTTGGTCATGCTTAACCAACAGGATTTCTTTTTTGTTGTTGAAATGTTATCTAGGTTAAAGTTCATTGTTTTAAAGAACTTTGAGTATGAATGTTGCTTTGACCTGGCCACTGTGTGTGCTTTTTCATAGTGATTCAAAACAGAGCAAAACTCTGGGGATTACTTCAATAGAAACGATTTATTCTTTGGGATTTTTCTTAAAGTAGAAGAACTTACTTGACCCTTAGCCAGCCAAATATGGATTAGGCTCCAGGGCTGTCACAAGGAAAAGGAATCAAAGTATGTGTCCACAGTAGTCTCCAGGCTACACACCAGGGTACAGAAATGAAAACAAGGCCTTAAAGACCTCAAAATTGGGCTGGGGATTTGGCTCAGTGGTTCCGCAGCTTGCCTTGAAAGCACAAAGGCTGGAGTTTGATCCCTGGTACCAAAAAAAAAAGGGGGGGCTCAAAGTTTATTGTGAGAGGTAGATGGATAATTAAATAACATAATTAAATGACGCATAATAATACAGTTGTGCTTAACATATATAACAGCAAGAGAATGTGAAAAGTTCTATGGGAACACAGAAGGAAGGATGAGGTCGAAGAAGACTTAGTAGTGGTTGTGAGTTTTGAAATGGGGTTTGGAGGATAAGAGTTTACCAGGTACAGAAGCATGGAAAGAACATGCTAAGTAATGAGACAGCTAAAGAATATATAGTGTCATGGGATAAAGACAGGTGTGAAAATACTGAATAGTTCAACGTTGCTACAGCACAGAGTACTTCAGTGGACAGGATGGGAGCTGGAGAGGCCGCGGGGGGGGTCAAAATTCAGAAGGCCCTGGACACCAGCCTGGCGTTAGATCTGTCCCTATTGGTCATACACCTGCAGAAGGCTTTCAAGCCCACATTTTGGCCATTGGATTGGACAGGCACTAACTCTTGACCCTCTGTCTTTTGAAGGACACTCTGCTCTTCTGCTAGGTCCACTGTTTCCTTCTTAATCCTTTCATCCCCTTAGCTCTACACAGCTCCAGATTCTGCCTCAAGTTTCAAAACTCTGACAATTTAGGATTAGGAGGCAACTGATCTTTTTTCAGAAGGGATTTTTATATTTGTCTAGCATTATACACGCAAATGGCACAGATATTTTAGATTGAGCCAGTTGAGTAGGCACTCAGGTACCTGAGTACGGAAGTACGGGAATTATGGCTAGGGTTAGGGCTATGCTTAGGTTTGGGGTTAGGGGTATGGATGGAACTTAAATACCTGATAATTGGAGTGTGAGTATGAAGGTTGGAGTAAGGATTTTTATGAGGGTGAGGTACAGTGTTGGAGTACCTGTGGCTATGATGGGTAGTGTTAGGGTAGTGGTCAAGGTTAGGGTTAGGGTTAGGCCTAGTGTTAGGAATAGTGTTGGAATTTAACTACCTGTGTACTGGAGTGTAGGTCTGATGGTTAGTGTTAGCATTAGTTTTAGGATTAGGGTTAGGAATGGCGTAGGAACACAGAATATTATTCTCTTCTCAAGGGTTAGGATAATCAGTATTTTGAGTTTCAGGCTACTGCTGAAATATTTGTAATAACTGCTGAGTAAGTGCCAGAGCTGGTCACTGATCATCCTGTTCAAGGAGAGATCGCCTAACTAGAGAAGGACAGAGCTGAAACCAAAACTCAGGTCTCCTGACTCCCAAACCAATACTGTTTTGGGTAGGCTCCAGTCTGGCTCTGCCGAACCAGTTACACAACAGAATATATTTGGCTACTTAAACCCACAGGGTCCTGACTGAGAGCTGGAGATTGTGTTCTCAGAACAGAATTTTGTTGAGCCTCAAGCTGGACAGCATAATTTTATGTCTGGGATACCCCATAACTTCTGGAAGATTGGAGCAGCACATACTTAATCCTTCAGCTAAGATTAGCAACAGGGTGGGGTGGGGTTTGGGGTGCTGTTCCGCGGTTGTTTGTGAAGACTGAGGAGTGGTGGAGCCTCGAGCAAACTGGAAGGAGTCGGAGATGGAAGGAGCCTTGAGGGCCGTGACGCCCCAGACTAGCTGGACAAGGTTTCTTCCTAGCAGCGAGCCTTCTGCTTCGGAAAGGCTCAGGCTGAGGAAGGCTGTTCAAGCAGAGCGGCTTCTGCTCTACAGGGGCTTTCTGTAGGGGAGCGGCGGGCGGGACCCGGGACTCCGTGGTTTGGGGCTCCTGAATAAACGCTGACACGCCCTAGAAGAGGATGTGCGTGACAGGAACCGCAGGACGTCGAGGACCTTCAGCTAGAATCATAGGAAGTACGCGGATCATGATCTCTACTAATGGCATTTATTTATTTATTTATCTATCTATTTATTTATTTATTTTACCGGGGATCCAACTCGGGTCCTTAATTTAGCGACGCAGGCGGCAGAACCACTGAGCTAAACCCCCGGCCCTCATGATCTCTACTTAGATGAAGACGCAGAGGCTTAAAGTCTCCACAGTCTCCCAAGGACCGAGCATTGATCAATTTAGGCTTACCAGATTGCACAAATGTATTTCAGCAGCACTTTTGCTTCAGCTGCCGTTCCCACCTCGCAGGCTAGAGAGCCGCTGGCTAGGAGGTTGTATTTACCGCCTCCCCTGCTTCCAGGAGAGGGAGTGGGTGGTCTTTCCGGCCCGGGCGGGGCTTCGATGGGCGGGGCGGAGGCGGCCGGAAGTGCCCCTGCGGGCGGAGATGACCTGGAGTACAGGTTCCTGACCCCCTGCCCGGCGCTGAGGG